GGAGGAATGGAACCTGGCCCCCTGTGCTTCACCGGCCTGTGAAAACCAACCCAGTTTCTAAAGCCTGGTCCCCCAAAGTCACCCGATTCCTTGCTCCCTCACAGCTGTTCCCCTCAGAAATTTAAAATAAGTGAATAAATAAAAGGCCTCAGCAAGGACACATAAAGAAGACGCCTCAAAAAAGTCTCGGGGTGTGTGTGTGTGTGTTCCCGTATGTCAAGCTAAAACCGCTTTTAGTGGTTCCTAAGTCCCTGATGAAAGTGTAACCTCCTACGTTGGGCCGAAAGGGCGCGTCTGATTTTCCGAATGCCTACTTTCCACCTTGCATTAACCGTGGTTCAGAATAGCATGCTTCAAGAAGCTGTGGACCTGGTTTAAACATGAAGCTGACTGAGGCAAAAGGATTTGTCCGTGGGACTGTGTGTCTGCAAAACCTTTCCTTGAAACAGGGCTGCTACCTGTGCGAAACAGCTGCGTGTGCAGATCGCCCGTGAAATGGACTCTTTTTCAAACTTCCTGCCCTCGGGGCCTTCCGTGTGCATTAATGTATAAACTAAGGAACCTCTGTGCATGTGAAGGGATCTCTCTGTGTGTGGCAGAGCATTCTGGGAGGCCCTATTAGTAGCAGTCAGCTGAGAGCAGACTCTGTGACATACCTAACACTTTCCTGCAGGCCGAGAAGCTTGTAAATGACAGACAGGCTGTTTGTCCTCACTGACCTTCTGCACGGGAGATCCCAGGTAAGGTTGCCAATTCTAGGCTGGGAAATTCTTGGAGGTTTGGGGGTAGAGCCTGGGGAAGGCAGGGTTTGGGGACCTTAGCAAGGTAGAGTGCACTGTCCCGAGCAGCCATTTTCTTCAGGGGAACTGCTCTCTTTAGTGTCGAGATCAACTGTGGTTCCAGGAGATCTCCAGTCCCCACCTAGAAGTTGGCAACCCTAATCCTAGCTGAGCTTCGAGGAGGCCCAGCGTTCCTAAGGAGTGCACACAGCTTGTAAGCCTACCAAGATCATCTTCCATTTCCGTTACAGGTTTTCTGGTACTGCTGAGTTGAACATGGCACTAAGGTAAAGGTAAAGGTTCCCTTGCTCGAAAGCCAGTCGAATCCGACTCTAGGGTTGCGGTGCTCATCTCCGTTTCAAAGCCGAAGAGCCAGCGCTGTCCGAAGACGTTTCTGTGGTCATGTGGCCGGCATGACTAAACACCAAGGCGCACGGAATGCTGTTACCTTCCCACCGAAGTGGTACCTATTAATCTACTTGCAGTTTCTTGCTTTCGAACTGCTAGGTTGGCAGGAGCTGGGGCCAGAGACGGGAGCTCACTCCGTCATGCGGCACCCGGGTCTCGAACTGCTGAACTACCGACCTGCCACAGCCTGCAGTTCAGCATCTTAACCACTTGAGCCACCGCAGCTCCTACATGGCACTAATCAAAAGGAATAATGGACTGTGGGTAAAGGCACTCTAATGATGTCATTAAAAACATTTAATTTTTAAATATTTTATTCATGTATCTACTTCATTTATATCCCACCTTTCTCTGCAGTGGGGGTCCAAGGTGGCTTCCATTGTTCTTCTCTCCTCTTCCACACGGGGTTCTTTTAAGTATCAGGGCAAGTAAAAATGTTTCTCTTAGGAACAAGATGCTTTAGGCTTGCCACCCTCCAGGTGGTGGCTGGAGATCTGGGATTGCAACTGTTCCCCCAGCAACAGAGATCAGTTCACCTGGAGAAAATGGCTGGTTTGGTAGACTCTATGGCATTATGCCCCATTGAAGTCCCTCCCCAAATCCTGCCCTCAGGCTCCACCCCCAAAATCTCCAGGAATTTCCCAACCTGGAGCTGGCAACCTTAATGTTTCCCCATGGATCCACGCTCAACTCATTTCAGAAGCCATCTGGACCCCTTGTTCCAGGTCAAATGGGATAACTTTGAGGCAGGTTTATGTCCCACCATTACTCTGGTTTAAAATTAAAGGCTTGGTGATAATTCCCATCCCTACCATCATGCAGTTGTCCTTAATATGTTCTGTGCTTCAGAACTCTTGGTCAAGCCTCCTGTTAAACAGTGCAGTAAAACTGAGGTCTCTCATTGGTAGCACAACTGAAGTGAAAGTTAAAGGTAAAGGTTCCCTTGCTCGAAACCCAGTCAAATCCGACTCTAGGGTTGCGGTGCTCATCTCCGTTTCAAAGCCGAAGAGCCAGCGCTGTCCGAAGATGTTTCCGTGGTCATGTGGCCGGCATGACTAATCACCAAGGCGCACGGAACGCAGTTACCTTCCCACCGAAGTGGTCCCTATTTATCTACTTGCAATTTCTTGCTTTCGAACGGCTAGGTTGGCAGGAGCTGGAACTAGAGACGGGAGCTCACTCTGTCATGTGGCAACCCGGGTCTCGAACTGCTGACCCTTCCACAGCCTGCAGTTCAGCGTCTTAACCACTTGAGCCACTGCAGCTCCTGAAGTGAAAGTTACCATCTTAATAAAAAAAACTTTAAAAGAGTAGGCTATTAAAATTAATTGGGATTGGATATCGAGGGAAGACTACTGTGTCTAAGTACTGCACCTCAAGAGTGGCAGGAAAGCAAGAATGCAGGGAGGCTGAGGTAAATGTGAGAAAAGTTGGGCAAGTTGTGGGCAAAGACAGTGAGACTAGAAGCCAGGAGTGTTCAGAGCCGTGAGGGAAAGGCTGTGTGTGTGAATGCCTTGCCCTGTCCGATGTAAGCCTCCCCAGGCTTGTTGATATTTGGGCATCTCTGTGGTTTGTTTTCACACCGACCGATTCCGCAAAAGCAGCTGTTCCGTCCTTGGTCTCCTCCCGTTTCCTCCAGCTGTACTGCTCAATTTCCCACTATTTGCTGCGCAGTGGCATTTTGACCCGCATCTCCTCCCAATTTCCCCAGCATCTTTTTGATCCCTATTTTTTAGGATCAAGATGCGGGGGAAATTGGGGGAGATGCGGGTCAAAATGCGGCTGCGCAGGAAATAGTGGGAAATTGAGCAGTACAATCAGGGGAGAGAGGAGACCGAGGGTGAAACAGCAGAATGGGTGACTATCTAGATTTGTGCTTTCTTTCAGTGACCATGAGATATAAAACTCTATTTTTGTTTGTTTGAAGTGGCGGTTCTAGTCGTCCCAAATTCTGAAAGGTGCCAGTGTGTGGTATCGATGCACGCTGTCGATCCTGACTTTTAACCTCCAGCCTTTGCTTCTTGTCATGACTACTCCCTCCCTCCTTGATTCTTGTCTTCCTTGTAGAAATGCTTTTCCTTTCTTCACGAGGCTTGCTTTTGGGCCCTCAGATTTGCTTTTTCTTTTTGCTTGTCACTCGACTCAGTAGACTCAAGAGCCGTCTCTTCCCATCAACCCAAATGACACATGAATTTTCAGGGCACAGCGTGCACCGAGGAGAAAACAAAAATGACACCCCCTGCGCCGTCTTTTGAGAATTTCGCAGGATGTAAAGTGGAAGAGACAGCTCAAATGGCTCCTCGGTGGCTCATATGTGGCCTAGCTTGAACAGTGTGTGAATTCTCTTGTGTGAATGAGAAGGAGGAATGCCTCTTCCAAGATGGTAACAACAGAAACTAAGGGCACAGCAATACATATGACATCAATACAAAGTGAAATGCTGCATAAGTTCACACAAAGAAATTAATGCTGAAATCCAACTTTCATGTTGTTTATAATTCTTGTATTTCAACAGGTGGAGACAAACTTCTCGAGTTTTGCCGTTCACAGTGAAATAACAATGGTTGGTGATAAGAGCTGTTAGTAGCCTTCCTGAATGTTTGGATACCTTAGTGGTGAATCAGACTGTGAAAGGACCACTGGAAATTGAAGTTTGATAAAGACTGTTCTCGAAACGAACGGCAAAACTAGAGAAGTTTGTCTCCACCTGTTGAAATACAAGAATTATAAACAACATGAAAGTTGGATTTCAGCATTAATTTCTTTGTGTGAACTTATGCAGCATTTCACTTTGTATTGATGTCTTCCAAGATGGTGCCTGCAACATTCAGTTTTTGTATTAGAAGTAGTTTGTTTTTTTTAAATAGGGACCACAATTCAATCAATTGAATCAACAGATTCTCTCGCAGAAGAGTTGGTAGGATCCAACCTATATCACCTACCCCCTGCATACCATGCCAAACACACCTTAAATCTTATTTATCAGGAAATCATGCACGAGCATCTGGAATTCAGGGCATGGTTTACCTTTTTTTTGTTGCTGTATCACATCTTCCCCTTTCTTTCCTGCCCATTGTTCTGCATCCTCTGCCTTTTCCCAGGCCTCCCCCGAGTAAGCAGGTAGCTGCAGCAAACCCTCAGAATTTAATAATTTCCTAGTAATTAGTTCTTTAAAATGTCACTTGCAACAGCATCAATAATTAGGAATACTGCTTTTCTTAAAAAAAAAAGTTCAGATAAGGAGAATTTTAATGTCAATTTTTGTAAGCAAAAACTAGAGTTTTGTCCCTAACGGAAATAGGTCTGTAAACTGCAGTGGAACCAGCTTATCTTTCCCAAGTTCCTGGAACAACTGGTTCTGAAATTACTCTGTGCTCCGGGGTACCCTGCTGCAGCGCCCTGCAGTTTTCAGGCTGATAAGCCACATGGATTCGTTACACCCCTGTAAGAGTCACGGGGCCCAGCAGGGATGGGACGCTTGAACTTTTGCGTCCGGGTTTGCACATTTGTGTGTTATGCACATGCATACGCTCAAGGAACTCAATTTTCTGCTTGGTGCAGAATTTCACATAGTCAAGGGGCTGCCCGACAAAACCATTTTAACAGACTCCAAGGCACAGCCCCTCCACTGAGCTAAAAATAGCCATTTATAAAAACCAGGTTTTTAAATACAGCCCTTTATCCTCCCTCCTAACTTAATTGCCCACTTCATTAACACAGCTGTCCCCACATTCACAGAGAGCCCTTTCCTTTCAGTCCCTCCCCCCCCCCACCCCTCCCCCCACCCCCAATCCCAAACAAAACAAGCACTAGTGGTTCTATTTACAAGTCACAAAATGGGGAGGGGGATTCAGTCCAGATGGAGAAACAGGGCAGATGTGCAGTGTGTGTGTGTGTGGGGGGGTTAAGGTCGATTCTTCCCATCCGCTAGAGGTGGGTGGAAATACAAATATATATATGTGTGTATTTTGCACAGTGATAACAAGAGACTTGGGGGAGTGTTCCCTCTCATCCCAAATGGGTTTTAGGAAGTGGTGGTGCTGCTGCTTCTGCCTTTGATGCAGTACTCCCAGGGCTTTTTGGGCAAGCTTGGGATGGACAGAAGAATAAAACAGCCTCCGCCAAAGATCAGGATGGATCCAGCGGCCACTGCACAAGCCACAGACCAGGAATATTCATACTCCAGGGGGACGGTCTCATCAGAGGTGATAAGCCACCGAACCGAGTGCCGGAAAATCTCCAGACATACCAGCACCATGATACCTGGGAAAAAAGAGAGAGAAGGTAGGGTTGAGCATTATACACAGCGGCCTTGACTCCTACTTGTGAGCTGAAGACAAATGTATCTAGTGTGGCGAACTTGCTGTGGTAGGCTTGCCAAGTCCCCCCGGGGGGCGGGGAAACCCCCGCCCCAGAGGCCCGTTCCCCGCCGCCGGCGGATCGGGCCCCGGGGGGAGCCCCACCCCTATGTGCGCGTCACCTGGAAGTGCCACGACCACGACAGGCACGCTGGGGGCAGGGCCACGGTCATCCAAGGGAAAACTATGTTTTCCCCTCGGATGGTCGTGGCCCCGCCCCCAGCGTGTCCGGCGTCACGTCATTTCCGGGTGATGTGTGTGCAGCGTGTGCGCACGTTCTCCAGATGCCAGCTGGTGCAGCGCAACACCCGACTTGGCAACCCTATGCTGTGGCGTTACATTCACCTCTGCTTGGACAGCAGACAAGCGTCTGAAAGGACTCAGGCCCAAAGTAACTGCTTCTTCCTGTTTCCTGGAGAAGACGGCTGCCCCACCTCCTTCCTACAGCCCTGTGAGCTGACTGCCACAACAGCTAGCACTCATCATCTAGCAACTTCCACCTCTCCCTTTTATTTATTTGGATTCTTATACCCTACTTTTCTTCCCCATGCCAGCTCTGGGTTGGGAAATGCCTGGAGACTTTGGGGGAGGAGCCTGAGGAGGGCGGAGTTTGGGGAGGGGAGGGACTTCAATGGGGTACAATACCGTAGAGTCCACCTTCCAAAGTGACCATTTTCTCCAGGTGGACTGATCTGCGACACCTGGAGATCAGGTGTAATCCCAGGAGATCTCCAGCTGCCACCTGGAGGCTGGCAACCCTACTGAGGACCTGAGGTGGCTTACAACACAAGTATCCCCTCATCCAGTTTATGGTCACCACAGCAGCCTTCGGAACTAGGCTGAGCCGAGAGAGAGAGAGAGTGACTGGATTAAGGGCAGCCAGCCAGCTCCCATGGCAGATAGGGTTGCCAACTCTGGGTTGGGAAATTCCTTTTTTGGGGGTGGAGCTTTGGGAGGGCGGGGTTTGGGGAGGGGAGGGACCTCAGCAGGGCATCATGCCATACAGTCCGTTCTCCAAAGCTGCCATTTTCTCCAGGGGAACTGATCTCCGTAGACTGGAGATCCGATGTCATTCAGGCAGATCTCTCCAGATCCCACCTGGAACTTGGCAACCCTAATGGCAGGGTGGGGAACTTTGAACATGGCTCTCCATGATCCTAGTCTGACACTGGGCACAGTGCCGCACGACAGCAGCTTAAAAGAAAAGGTGCCGATTAAACACTTAAATGAGCACACGTCAAGCATCTGAAGAGACAAGGTTAAAAAAAGCCTGTCTAAAGCACTGTATATAGAAACCCATGGCAGTTCATGGGAGGGTGGGGGGGAAGCATAGCTTTCCCTGAACCCAGAGAAGGGAGGGCTGTTCGGGAGTCTTCTCTTACCTGATATGATGAAGAAAATGGATGCTGGTTTCAGGAGGAATTCGATCCCTTTGCTCAGAGCCATAGTGATGCAAAGCGATCCCACGGCCATGAGTGTGATGCTGAGAAGGGACACAACGGCGGCCGTGATGTTGAGCTCTGCCCAGCATTGCCGGGTTGGAGGGGGAGAGAAACAGCAGTTTGTTTATTTAGGGAAACTTTTGGGCCGCCTCTTCAGGAACCTGCCTGAGGTGGCTTAGAAAATTAAAAAAAAAATTAAAAAGATACTAATTAAAAAAAACCCACTATTGAGAACCCAGCCCAACATAAAAACATAGTCTATAAAAACAGACCCCCTGACAACTTAAAGTAACAGTTTCCAGGCTAAATTAGTGTTAAAAGATCAACCCCTGAATTCAAAGCCTAGGTGGATAGAAACGTTTTGGCCTGGTACCTAAAAGAAAACAGTGTAGGCGCCTGGCGAGCCTGAAAGGGAAGGCCCTTCTGTGAGGGGCCACTACTGAAAAAGCCCTTTCTCTGGTTGCCACCCACCTCACCTCTGAAGACAGGGCCACAGAGAGCAGGCCTGGTAAGGCAGCTCTTAACTGACCGGCCAGACAGTGTGGAAGGAGGCAGTCCTTCAGGTATCCTGCCCCCAAGCCATTTAGGGCTTTAAAGGGAAGAACCAGCACTTTGAATTGTGTCCGGAAACAAATGGGCAGGGAGTAATAAATATTTCCCTCAGGCCTTTGCTGGCTAAGCATGTTTCAGGGCCTTAATGTTGGATCCACTGTTATCAGTTGTTGTGAGTTGTTTGTTTTTTATACTTTGTATTTTAATACAGTTTTTACTATATTCAGGGGTCATTTCCTGCAGGAGCGCACAGGAGCGGAGCTCCGGCAGTAAAGAGCCCAGTGGGTGGGCACATGCAACAAGCCCCACCCCCTGCTCCCAGCAGCCCTCAGTCAGAGCAAGAAGCAGCCAGGTAAGTTGCAGAGCTCGCCCCTGCCCCCCGGTCCAAAACAGTCCAGTGGCACCTTTAAGGCCAAGTTTTATTCAGGTACAAGCTCTCCCTCCTCTGCCAGGACAGATCTGCATGTTCCCGGCCCCCCCCAATAGCTAGCAATCCAGAACAGTCCAGTGGAGCCTGAGCGGTGGGTGTTGCCTTCTGACACACTTCTGGTGATGTCAGGGAGTGTGACATAGGCAAATAAGTTATGCTAATGAGCTCCTGCACCTCTTTTTCTACAAAATGACCCCTGACTATATTTATTACATTTGTTTTGTATTGTTTTGAGCTACTCTGAGCCCCACTTTATGGGCGAGGGGCAGTATATAAATTGAAATAATAAATAAATAAATAATGGCCTCGGCCACACGGGCAGGAAAATGAGGGGGGGAGGCGTGGATGTTTGCCCCAAAGCGTCGGGTTGAGGTCCCATCGAGCTCCCGTGGTTAGGGGGGAGGTGCCGATCACACAACGCGGCAAAGAAGCGGCACGGCGCGGCAAACGAGGTTGTGTTTGTTTTTTAAAACTGAAATGTGTGCATGCTCCGTTTGGTGCTTGTACGCATCTGTGGAGACTTGGGGGGGGGACTTTTTGCGAGGGGACATGGGCAGGCGCCGGAACTACCACCAGAAACGTGATCAGACGCCCGCCCTTGCCCCGCGGTTTCCGGAAACTAGTACCTCCGAGGTACTAGTTTTTTACCCCGCATCTTCGGCGGGAAGCCTCTGGTGCGCCACGGGAGCTCTACGCTTCCCAGATGTGGCGGTGAGATCGCGCCCGGAAAATCCGCCTATCTTCCGTCTCTCTAGCGTGCCTAATGCTCCGTGTGACCGGGGCCATAGTGCAGATCTTTTAGCACTGGACTGATATAATCCCTGTATCCCGCCACTTGACAATAGTCTGTCTGTGGCCCTTTGCACAAGCTGAAGATTCTGGACCCTTTTCAAAGGCAGACCCAGGTAAAGCACTTTACAGTAGTCTAACAGCATGGATCAGTGTGGCCAGATCACGCTTCTGAGGGAATGGCTGTTTACAGGGCTTATGAAACACGACTTGGAGAGGCTCGATACTGAAGCCTTTTCCAGATGGTTCAAAAACTAGATCCCCTCAGTCCTTATATATAAAATTAGTCAACTCTTGCCTTCTCTGGACAGAAAAGACCTGTCCACTGTGGTGCATACCCTGGTTACATACAGATTAGACTATTGCAGTGCTCTTTGTGTGGGGCTGACCTTGAAAACTGGGAACTTCAATTGATACAGAACGCTGCAGCCAGGAGCTTGACTGGAATGGGACGATATCATTCCAGTCTTGGCCTACCTATATTGGCTTCCATTTTGCTTCTGGGCACAATTCAAGGTGCTGATCTTGACCTTCAAAGCCCTATACAGTTTGGAATCAACATACCTGAAGGACAGCCTAATCTCCTATGAACCCTACTTTGGGTGCCTCCAACCTCGTGAGATTAGGCGGGTGGCAGTCTGGGAGAAGGCCTTCTCGGTCATGGCCCCAAAGCTCTGAAACTCTCTCCCCAGGGCGATTCATCCGTTCCCTTCTGTTGCCGTCTTCCACCAGCAGGGGAAGACTTCTTTGTTTCGTTTGGCATCCCCTGAGTGATCCCTCCTTCCTAACCAATGTGTTTATGTTCTGTATGTATTTCAACTGTTTGTGTGTATTGGTGCCTTTGTTTTTAGCTCTTTTTAAAGTTGTTGTAATGATATACGTTTGGGAGGGAGGTTGATTTTAATAGTGTTGTAATGTAATTAAAGAAAAAAATTTAAAAGGAGCTGCAGTGGCTCAAGTGGTTAAGACGCTGAACTGCAGGCTGTGGAAGGTCAGTAGTTCAGCAGTTCGAGACCCGGGTGCCGCAAGACGGGGCGAGCTCCCGTCTCTAGTTCCAGCTCCTGCCAACCTACCAGTTCGAAAGCAAGAAATTGCAAGTAGATAAATAGGTACCACTTCGGTGGGAAGGTAACAGCATTCCGTGCGCCTTGGTGTTTAGTCATGCCGGCCACATGACCACGGAAACGTCTTCGGACAGCGCTGGCTCTTTGGCTTTGAAACAGAGATGAGCACCGCAACCCTAGAGTCGGACTCGACTGGCTTTCGAGCAAGGGAACCTTTACCCTTACCTTTAATGTAATTTTATCATGTATGTTTTAAACTGTTAGCCGCCTTGGCAGCCCTTGTATAGGAAGAAAGGTGGGATATAAATTTTGTAAATAAAATAAGTCCAACTTTGGAGAGGATGAGTGTATAGTGTGAGGGGGTCTTCTTAGCCAAATCTGATCCCTTGAAGGGTCCAATCTAGCCCCCTTGTTGCCAATGGCAACTGTGTTGTATTATTATAACATCTGTAGAACACCATCTTGATTTTAGGAATTGGAGTGAGCAGTGGAGCACCGATATTTTATTAATTGTATTATGTTGTATATTGTATTGTATTTTTATACTGTTCTTATTGTTTTTATTAGGCACTTGTGCCCCTGTTTAGCCGCCCTGAGCCTCCGGGGAGGGTGGGATACAAATTTGAAGAATAAATAAATAAATAAATAAATAAATAAATAAAGTGGCAGAAGCCCCGCCCCCTGCTTCCGGCCGCCCCACTTCCAGCCCTCATTCAGCCAGGAGGAGGCAGGAGAAGAGGGAGGGTAAGTTGCTTTCTCCCCGCCTCTCCCCACCCCTGCCTCCCTGGGGCCAGGGAGCGCCTTGGCAGGGCTTCCTCGCACTCCCGCTGGCCTTGCAGGTCCACCGCCGGGCCCCTGATGTCAGGGGGTGTGGCATATGCTAATGAGTTATGCTAATGAGTTCCCCTAGCTCTTTTTCTATGAAATGACCCCTGGGCCGCAGCTGTATGAACTGGGCATGGCAAGAGGCTGTGTTGGGGGCTAGGAGTCAACGTCTGGCCCCTCCATGCATAACTGTATTCTTAAAATAGCCCTCCAGGAAATCTGGTTGCTGACCATGGGCATACAGCCTTTAAGAAATGGAATTTCAAAGGAGCCAGGCTCAAATGGTAATGTTTTCCTAAGGAAGCCGGGTGTAGCCCCTCCCCTTTCCCCCACCTCTCCTCCAAAAACAAAGATTACAAGCAGTCTCAACTAGTAGAGCAGGGGCCGCTCAGACTTTAAAGAACTGCACAGCAACGTACATTGGGGGGGGGGGGGGGCGGCATCACAGAGAAGGTGCTGGCAGCTGCTGCGTGGAGCAGAGAAAGGCGTGAGGCTTAATGGTGATAAGAATGGAAAGGTGGAAAGAATGGCAGGCCAGCTAGGGAGGCTTGGCAGGCGTGATGGGGATCATACTTTCCAGCATTTCGTGGATGGAAATAGGGACATGCTTGCAACACACCCCGTATCAAAGGTCACTGCCTGAGGGCACCTCCACAATGACACATAGGTACAGGGTTTTGTTCTGTTTTCATGCAGGCTGTTATTTACTCACTCTGCAATAGGCTGTTCTCACCTGATTTAAAAGCCAAGGCTGTGTTTGTTCTTTCAGTTAAAGAAATAGCAGACAAAACATCACTCTCCTTCAGTTCATCAGTGACAATGCAAAAGAGACACCTCAGCGACTGAAGTGTGTCAGGCGGCAGGGCAGTGCACCGAGTGATGCTGAGTCTACCGTGCATGTGGGTTTATATGTGTGTCTGCTAGAGTCACGGCATCTATATATTCACCCACTCAGACGTCGTGACAAACAGAGGTTTGCCTGTGACGGGCGCAAACACAGCATGTGTTCATGCTTGCGCACCACCTCCCTCTCCTTCTTGGATATGGAGCACAGTTGAAGAATTCCTAGCTTGAAACGCTTGAATCGAATTCCATTTCACGGTGATGTCCAAATGCAGATGCCTGGATGGACCGCAGTTTATTTCCTCTCCACAAACTGGAATTCTGAAACCTCAATTTAATCCCAATTTAGAATCCCAGTTTATGGAGAGGAGACAAACTGCAGTCTGTCTAGGAACCTGCATTTGGACACGTCACTGTGAAATGAAGTGCAATTCAAAGCTTCCCAAACCAGGAAGTCTTCAATCATGTTCTGTGCATAAGGGAGGGAGAAGGTGGGTGGGGCGTATGAGACCCTGACAACAAATTGTGTTTCTGCCTCTCAACCAGGGGTCGTTTCGTAGAAAAAGAGCTAGGGGAACTCATTAGCATAACTCATTAGCATATGCCACACCCCCTGACATCACCGGATGTGTGTCATAAGGCCACACCCCCTGACATCATCGGACGTGTGTCACAAGGCCACACACCATGCCCCCAACGGTCCCGGCCGCTGCCCCCGGCCTTGCAGCTCCACTGCCGAGCCCCATGAGGGGCCCGGCGGTGGACCTGCAAGGCCGGCGGGAGTGCAAGGAAGCCCCGCGAAGGTCCTCCCTGGCCCCAGGCAGGCAGGGTACCTCACCCGGGGGAACTGCGATCCCCCGCGATCCCCCCCGAAATGACCTCTGCTCTCAACAGACAAAACTCTATTTTTCCCCCCTGAATTCGGGGACAGAATTAAGTTCCAGAGACCCTAGCGAAATGGTAGTCTCCTAAAGGAACTCAACCTAACACAAATGTAAATAAGGCATTTCCCCAAAGACAATATGGGGGCAGTGACAGATCCCTGGAAAATAAGGACATTTAAAACATGGGGGAGGAGGGAGCTGAATTGCCCATTGAGAAATAAGGGACATTTAGATAATTCCTGGATTTCTCCCCTATCCTCCTGTAGAGGACATCTACCTTCATCACCATTTAAAGATTTTGAAAAGCTTACAAATAGGTTGCTGCACCCCTTTAAACATGGTTTTCTCCATTCTGAAGAAGTGTGCATACACACAAATAAAACTTTGTTGTTCTTAAAGGTGTATTGTTATGGATGAGTAACATTTTGCCCAGGGGTCATTTCCTAGAAAAAGAGGTGCAGGAGCTCATTTGCATAACTCATTTGCATATGCCACACCCCCTGACAAAGGGCAGGCATGTTTAAAATTAGTTAAGGCATATGCAAATGAGTTTAAATCCCCCCCCTTCCCTGAGTCTCTCCCCAAAAGTGGAGAGGCCCAGGAGGAAAGGCGGGCATGTCTGCCCGCCTCCCCTTCCCCTCTGCAGCTAACCCACCACGGCGGGCTGGCTGCAGAGGGGAAGGGCATGGAGGCAGACATACCTGGGTTCCCTCCTCAATCTTCTCCAGGTGCCCCGCAGCTGCGGGGCACCTGGAGAAGATCGGGCAAGGAAGTCAGGCATTTAAATCCTCCCTCCCTGAGTCTCTCCGTGGGCGGGGCCAGGGCTCCTTACTGCCGGAGCGCTGCTCCGGGGCACTCCGGCAGGAAATGACCCCTGATTTTGCCCATGGGGAATGGTACTTCAAAATTCACACAACATTTTGTGACACCTGTCCAAACTAGATGCTTCGGCATTCTTGTGTCTGCCACATGGAAGCCGCCACAATTTTATAGTGATTAAAAATGCTTTGAGGGCCACTCCCCCCCAACCCCCCGGGCATTTTCTAGTGCCCCACACGTAGCCCGGCTTCTTTAAATGTGGGCCTTTCCTGTTCATATGTAAAGTGGGAGTAGGGAGTGTGATTTTAAAAGCCAAAGGAGTACACAGGGATGTGTCTGTCTGTCTGTCAGTCATGGTGCTTTAGCCTACCTTGCTGTTCTTACCCTCACAGTCTAATAGGCTGTAATCCAAAAAACCCTTTCATGGAAGTAAGTCCCATTGAATAAATAGGAGATATTTCTGAGTAGACCTGCTTAGGATTGCTCCCTAATACACTTAAAAACAATGCATTTCAAATATTGCAGCCCATGTCTCCAGGTGGGTTCCTTCCAGTATTAGAAATCAGCCTGGCTGTGAGAAGAGCAAAACGTTTGGAGGGGAGGAACGACGACAGGCAGTGGGGAAACGGCAGGTGGAGGGAAAGAATTTCGCACCTCCCTTCAGCCACATGCATCTCCTTGGTTTTTTAAACTGTACCCTGATGACCCCACTTGACATGGAGGCTGGAGGACCAACCCAGGGACTTGTTCTTGATGACTGAGAAATAATGCTGGTTTCACCTTTTTTAGTTGTCCTCTGGAAGATGTGGGCATTCTCCCCAGTGGTGAAGAACTTGAAATAAGAACAGTTGGCTTCTGAAATGAAGAAATAAAAGCAAATGAGAACAAACAGGGGCAGAGGCTGAGAGGGAGGGGTAGGTGGGGCCAGTGTTCCCTCCAAGCTGAATTAGTGTGAGCTGCGGTGGCTCAAGTGGTTAAGACACTGAACTGCAGGCTGTGGAAGGTCGGTAGTTCAGCAGTTCAAGATCTGGGTGCCGCAAGACGGGGTGAGCTCCCGTCTCTAGTTCCAGCTCCTGCCAACCTAGCAGTTTGAAAGCAAGAAATTGCAAGTAGATAAATAGGGACCACTTCGGTGGGAAGGTAACAGCATTCCGTGCGCCTTGGTGTTTAGTCATGCCAGCCACATGACCACGGAAACGTCTTCGGACAGCGCTGGCTCTTCGGCTTTGAAACGGAGATGAGCACCGCAACCCTAGAGTCAGATTCGACTGGCTTTCGAGCAAGGGAACCTTTACCTTTTTACCTTTAGCTCACAGTTTTTTAGCCTCCGGCTCACAGATTTTTGTCTCAGCTCAGGAAGGATGGCCAAATTGCTCGCTCACAACTTTAGTGCCAGGAGCTCACAAAGTAGAATTTTTGCTCTCAAGACTCCACAGCTTAGAGGGAGCATTGGGTTTGGCTGCGGTGTTTGAAGAAATAGCTGATAAAAGAGGGACAATGGTCAAAATTAGGCAGGTTATACAAATACCCATACATTTACTTCAGGGCTCCGGCATAGGGGTGAGGGCTAAATTCTCCCCCCCCCCATTGAATTTTCTTGACTTTAGCGGCCCACTGGAGTTGCTGTTTTCCCTGTCAGGGAACCAGACTCTCAGTCTGCATCATGTTTCCCCCAGGAGAGCAAACAGCAGCTTTGGAGGGCCATGTGAGGTCAGGAGAGCGGTGTGTGTGAGGAGAAGAGTTAATCCCACCTCCTGGGGCTGCCATCCAGCCATTAAAAATAGTCCATTGATGCAGAGAGCTAGGATGAAATTTAGAATGCGTGCAGAAATAACAAAAACACTTCTTTCTAAGCTTTGTCTGTTCTTGAGAGCAATCTGGCTTGTAAGAAAAAAGCCAGGCGTCTCTGATGAATCCCAGTGCCGCTGTGAAGTTGCCATAAAGTATCACTGCTGGAAAGTGCTGTAAAATACATCCTAGTGTCTCTGGTCCTCCCAGAACTGGTAACACTATCCAGGAGGCTCTGTTTATTTATCATGGGAATGACAGCTACACACAGATACGACACTTGATCTTAGCCAAATGGCCGAAAAGCAGTGGGAATGACAACTGATTGACTCTGTGAATCTAACCAATACACTTTAAGAGACATTTGAGCCACGAGGGCTATAGCCATAGGGTTACTAGCCTCCAGGTGGAGCCTGGAGATCTCCCAGAATTACAGTTGATCTCTAGACTGCAGAGATCAGTTCTCCTGGAGAAAATGGCTGCTTTGGAGGGTGGAATCAATGGACTTTCCCCTCCCCAACCCCACTTCCCCAGGTTCCACCCCCCACATCTCCAGGAATTTCCCAGCCCAGAGGTGAGCAATTAGCCTGAGTAAATATATCTAACCTTAGGGTTGCCAGCTCTGGGTTGGGAAACACCTGGAGATTTGGGGGTTGGAGCCTGGGGAGGGCAGGGCTTGGGGAGAGGAAAGGCAGAGTGTAATGCTACAGAGTCCACCCTCCAAAGCAGCCATTTTCTCCAGGGGAACTAATCTCTGTCGACTGGAGATCAATTATAGTAGTGGGAGATCTCCAGGACCCACATGGAGGATGGCAACCCTGCCTAACTTGTCCTCCCTCCTTGTTACCTTATCCTTCGTAGAGACCACCTATGTCTTTTCAGAGCATTTTTGGTTTCTCTATTTAAGACCTCTTCGAGTATTACAGATTATTTTTATCATATTACTTGTTTTAATGATGAACTACAAGAGCTATGGAATGAAATGCAGATTTGGGTGGGGTGTGTCTGGTTTTTTGGGGGTTTTTTAGCACCTATGCATCCTGCAAGCAGCCGTGATTGGCTCCCCTCAGGCCCATTAGGGGCAACATACATTATATTCATAATGTACCTGCAAATTTTGCAACATGTGAAGTGGTCCCAAGGACTAGAAGCTTGAGTGTTTTGGGGGAAAGGCAAGTTGGGCCGGTGAGACGTGATTCAATAGTTAACACCCAGCAACGTGTGAGCAGGCAGAGACGCCTAGACTTCCCACATGCCTGCAGTATTTGCCAATGTATTTGAAATTTGAACTTAATACTGGATAAGGTTTGGAGAAAACCAGGAGATGGGGCTGAAAGGTCCTGCTTTTAGCTCATGTCCCTGTCTGCACCAGTTTGAGTTAACACAAACTTTTTTTTTTAATTGGAGGAAGGGGAGGCATTTGCAGAACTTGGCAAATGAAGCAAAGTTGGGGCCAAAAAAGATTCTTTGCATCTCAGGCCTCAGGGCTTCTCCTTTCTAAGGCCTTATATTGCCCAGTGGAGCGTATTTAATTGTGTCCCCGGAGAGAGAAACATTAGCAATTACTGTGCTCTGTACAGCTGGACAACTTCCAGTTAGCCCCAGGGTGTGGGGAGCAAGTGTGCGCACTCTCTCTCTCTCTGTACGCACTTATGTGTGTGCAATGCAAGGCATTTGCGTGAAAGATTTTGGTGGTAAAAGATGCGGTTGTTACAGACTGTAGGATCACTCCTCTCAAGGGTGTCCTTCTTGAGCAGTGCTTCAGCCTTGCAGTTCTGACCCATGAGGTTTTTGCTCAAAAGAAGAATATATATGGGAGGAGGTGGAAGACAGGAGAGGTTTGGGGTCTGACAAAAAGCATCAGAAGCCATTCTGAGGATACTGCAGTTCTCTGCGTACACAGTGTTCTAGGATGGCCAAATGTCAGAGAGGCAGGATCCTTGTGTCTTTAACAATTGTGTAGAAGAGAGATTTGTGGCCAGGGCAGCTTGTCATGTCACAGTGCTGAAAGGTGAGAAAAGGTGTACCTACAAAGAAACCCCCCCCACACACACATTTTATGCAATATTAAAGGAGCAGGAGACCTGGCTTCTATTGCAGTAGATTTTAAACTTACTGTTCTCCAGAAACTGTTTCTATGTCAATTTTAATTTTTCTGTCAAGGAATCCCTCTGCATAGTAGAAGAGTCTGTGGTGTGTTTTTAGAGGGTATTCTCGGTTTACAGGCAAAATTGACTGGGCTTCTTGGGCCTCACCTAGAATATATCAGTTACATGATTCCAGACACAAAAATGCAAATTCAGGGGTCAAGTGCACATAGGCGTATTATTTACAGCTTTTTGTTCTGCAACGTACACAAGCACTGATGAGGAAAGGCTCATTCCAAATATAATTTCAAAGGCAAACACACATCGAGAATGTTCTGACTTGGCCCTGACTGACCTGGACGGCCCAGTCAAGCCCGGTCTTGTCAGATCTCGGAAGCTAAGCAAGGTAGATTCTGGCAAGTACTTGGATGGGAGACCTCCTTGGAATATCAGCAGTCGGGAGGTGGGGGCAGGATTTATTCAGCCACCTCTCTGAATATCCTCCAGCCCCACACTAGGGGTAAGTCACCAGAGGTCGCCATGACTTCCAGGTGCACACACACACACAAATACGAAAAATACAGAAAAAAAGAATGTTCTGACATCAAAACTTTAAGTTCAGGTTCTAAATGTTTGCTGAGTTATTAGCAGGGTTATTTTTGGGCAGGAACGCACAGGAACGGAGTTCCGGCTGGCTCCCAAGTTGGCCAAACCCACCAGGAACTGATTAGCATAATAGGCTACACCCAACAGCAGAAACTCATTAGGACTGGCTACATTAGGGGTGTGTGGCCTAACATGCAAAGGAGTTCCTGCTCCAAAAAAAGCCCTGGGTTTTGACAACAAACAAGGTAAACAGAATAAGAAGCGAAAGGTGGATGTGGCTGGATGACCACACTTCTGGTTAAATGGGGGTGCGGCCTAATGGGCTAATGAGTTCCTGCTGTTGGGTGTGGCCTATTATGCTAATGAGTTCCTGCTGGGCTTTTTCTACAAAAAAAGCCCTGGTTATTAGTATGTGCAAAACGGCAACTAGCATCCCTATACTGTAAGCAGGTAGAGGCTGGATGCAGATATGCCGTCTCCTTGAGTCTTGCACTGTTCGGGTCCATCTGTGTCCACCTCGGGTCCTGTTAAGTGCACATGTCCTTGAAGTTTCTCATTGAAATGTAAATCCTCATGCGCATGGGGGGCCATTCAGATTAGGACTGCAGTGTGCAGGGTGAGGGGGATTACGCCTGCCTCCAGTGCCGTTTCCCCTAGGGATAACACCTCCAGATTGAGAAATTCCTGGAGATTTGGGTTGGAGCCTAGGGAGGGCAGAGTATCAGACTCCACACTGCCAATTTCTCCAGGGGGACTGATTTCTGTAGTCTGGAGATCAGTTTGTAGGGATGCCTGGCCTCCCTCTTTGTTGCCTGCTGGAGCCTGAGGAAACGTGTGTTGTTTGTGTGGGAGAAACGCACGATGGCATTGCACTGGCACGGTTGCATCACTTCTGTTAAAATCTGGAAGTGACATGTTGGGCAATCTAGTGTCTTGCAAAAACTGGAATCTTTACAGTATGACGCTCTAGAGCTTTTTGCAAAAGGCTAGAGCCTCTGCCATGCCGTTTCCTGTTTTTACTGGAAATGAAGTAAGCATGCTGATGCATCAGGACCAATGTCCCCTCTAAGCAGTGGAGTCTTGTGAGCAGAAATTCTACTTTGTGGGCTACCGGCATTAAAACTGTGAGCCAGCGATTTGGCTGCTGCATGAATTAGTTTGCTCTGGAGCCATCCCTTCCTGAGCTAAGACAAAAATGTGTGAGCTGGAGGCCAAAAAACTGTGAGCTAGCTCACACTAACTCAGCTTAGAGGGAACACTGATCAGAACCCACCCTACATTTCCTCCAGGGGGTTGCTAACTGTGGCCTGTCAATCCTACTCAACTATAATTCTAGTAGAACTCCAGGCCCTACCTGGAGGTTGGTGTCCCTAC